ATCATCCCAAAGAAATATGACCAACAGAACAGTAAAACGGTTTACAGGGTTTTTTTTATACGCTCAATGGAAATATGATCGTATAGTGCCGTCGCGTCCCTCGGTCCGTAGGCCCGTCAGTCCGTCGTCCACGATTTCCTTTTGAAATTAATGTATGTTGTTAATGTCAACAATTTCCGTTAAGTACTTCTGAGTTATGACCCTTGTTTAACTTTGTAGAACCTTGTGAACGCCCTAACGACGAATGCCATCATCCGATCTGTATTAAGTTTATATGCATTATTTAAATTAGTAAAATGAAGAATCCTATTAAATTTCAGCAATTTCAGTATATAACCTCCAGAGTTATAGCCCTTGTTTCACTTTGTTGAACCTTGTGAACGCTCTAACGACAAATGTTATTATCCGATCTGTATTATGGCCCCTGTTTTACTTTGTTGAACCTTGATTGTGAACGCGTAAACGACAATTAAGTTATCGCCCGATCTGTATTAAATTCACTTGCATTGTTTGAATTAGTAAAGCGAAGAAGTCTATTGAATTTTAGTAATTTCTGTTTATAACTTCTAGAGTTATGACCCTTGCTTCACTTTGTTGAACCTTAATGACAAAAGTATTAAATTAGCATGCGTTATTTAAATAAATAAAACGAAGAAACCTATTGAATGTCAACAATGTCCGTCAATAACTTCGGGAGGTATGGCCCTTGTTTCACATTGTTGAAGCAAGAAATGTATTGAATTTCATCAATTTTCGTTACTTCTAGAGTTATGGCCCTTGTTTCACTTTGTTGAACCCCTTGTTATCATCGGATTTGTATTAAATTCATATGCATTATTTAGATTAGTAAAACGAAGAAGCCTATAAAATTTCAAACAATTTTTGTATATAACTTCTAAAGTTATGGCCCTTGTTGAATATTGTGAAGCCTCTGTTGACAAAATGTTATCATCTTATCTGTACTAAATTGATATCATCTTATCTGTACTAAATTGATATCAGCGTCTTTTATTGTAAATACACCCATTACCTACAAAAGGATAAATATGCGACAAAACTTGTCGACTGATTTGATGATTTAGCTGCTGTGGGCGATATGTTTCGTTGACTGACGACATGTAGCTTATTAAGTAGTATGAGTCTACTTCATTGCATACCGACATGGTTTTGAAAAAGAAAATGTTTTCCGCTATTTTTGTTTGGTGCAAAAAATAAATAAATTTATACTTCCCAAATCTATTCTGGTGGTGACACCATCAGGTATCACTAACCAGGACATTTCGTGAATATGGTACATTTCAATAATTCGTTTGCGTACTCGGGGTCTTTATAAGTAACAGAACATGTGTTTGATTATCAATGACAGAGGTGCTTTCATTCTGGTTGTTTAAATATTTGGTTATTGTTTTGTAGAATCCAGAAACAAGAGACCAAGTACCACCAATAGATGTGATGTGGATAACGGGAAGTGAAGGAGGCGATTATTATTATTCATTCGGTGGTTGTCATCGCTACAATGCGTATAAACGGTTGAATTTACCCACCATTCCCTGTAAACTTTTTAAATCAACAGTTACAGATTTACGAAACTACCTCGGAAACTCTACTCCGGATCTTAAATAAGTCGTGATGTAGAAGTTATGGGATATGCATAGTCTAATTGCCTTTTGTTATTATTAATGAATCATTTTCGTGGCACTAGAGTACAGGGTAACCATTTCGAAGCGGTTTCGTCAGATTTGGTCAATTTGTTTCACAGAGATCTTCTAATATTGTAGCGGCCTAGCGAAAATTCACTGCTGATCAGTGTGAGATTTGGTGCCTTAGTTTAGTATAAATACAAATGACCGTAGCTGCGCCATTTCTGCACGTACATTGGGAGGTATACGTAACATTCATTGTGGTGTTGTTAGTGCTAAATGATAAGGCCAGCTCAATGTTTCGTCATAGTCACGCACGAGATGGCTAGGGCCAATCCCAACCCTAACGGTAACCCTGGACCTAGCCAATGCTTACCCTAACCCAAAGTCTCCCCAACAATCACGTGCCCCAACCTTTTTTACATCTCAGCGACCTTGACAAAAATTGTGCGCGCCTTAACTAATGGTGGTGTGGAGCGCCCACTATCCGACTGAAATAAAACTTTCAAAAACCAAGGTGTTTTTTTTCCACTTTCTGGTTGATGCCAATCCCAAGATGCAGTTATTTCTATTGATGTGTTCCCAGAACATACTCCAAATCGCGTATTTCGCAGTTAATTTAGTAAAATGTTATGGTAGATTCCCCATGCATCTTCATTTCTCAAGCGCTGCCACTGTATTCAATGTCCATCTTCCAAATCATAAGTGGGGAAAATAATGTATTTTTTTTTTTTGAAAGAGCTCTACGAATAACTAATTCTTGGCTATTTTGAAATAGGTTTCATTTGAAAACAGGAACGAAACATACGTAACTGCAATGTTACCACATCTATATTTTGTCTTCCGACATTGCATGGTCAGCATACATTTAAATGTATTAAGATACAACTGAATCACAGGCACTTGAATAAAACTTATTACTACTGCTTGACTATATTACAGTAAGATGTTTTATTTTAATCCCTTCAAGAGCCTGTGAACTGGATGTCCATTTTCTGGTGGCAAGAAACCCACTCCGGGACCTTGCTTATAATGTTACCTTATAATGTATTGCATAAATTATAGAATGGATACAATGAAATAAAGTTTTTAATTTTCTGCACCAACCAGATAATGAAGAAAAATTGTGTCCCAACTGCAGGGGTATTTTTGTGTCCAATAGCTAAAAGCTACTCCAAGGATTGCAATGGAGTCATTCCATGTGGATCAATTTTCAGAAAATTGGGAAATCGTCCCCCCCACCCCCTCCGAAAAAATTTGGCAAAAATATGTTATTGGACATGTAAAAACTAGAAACTGCAAAATTTGTGGTTTGTAGCTTGAAAATTGACTGAGATGCCCGTTTTTACATGTCCAATAACTTATTTTTTTCCCCGATTTTTTTCGAAGGGGTCGATTTCCCACCCCTGGCCCACTTGACATGGAATGACCCAATGTATAAGAAATATATTCTAAGGTTGGGGCTAAAAAAATTGATTCTATCATCCTATCTACAGTATCAACTAGTGATATATAACAGTTTGACTGGTGGGGTCTGTATTAAATGGCCAATATAGATTTACAACACACATGACAGCACCAATTAAAGAATTTACTAATCAAATAAAGAACAAATAAACAAATGTATAAATAAATCCAGAATTTCGAGACAGAGAAAAAAAATAATATTAGAAATGAAAGTTATTGCATATGGTATAAAAAACAAAGACAGCTGAAAACAAGGTAAAATAGGACCCACTAGATGGGTTTGTAATAGGGTTGGCTGTGGGAGTGTAAAATACCTTCTTGTCATTTACAGGTTGGTGGAATCACCTGCCTCTAACACTAGCCTTAAATTTGTTCACAGCTTAGCCTAGCCCATCTCGCCACAAACAAGCCTATGTAAAGTAGGGGCTCTGAGCTTCTGAAGCCAAAAGTGAAAGCATTAAGGCATGCATGTGTGTAGAACTTCAAACTTTGAAATTAGATGTAGGATTCACTTTTAAATAAAGACAAGAACAAATCAAAATGTTTTTTTTTTGTGAATGTCAACATACATCCATATTCTAGTATGCATTCCCCTGGTCCAATAAACATAAACTAGACTTTCATGAATAAACCACATTAGCCTAACATGCATTAAAGGTGTGTATTCCTTAATGATATATAATTGGTACAGGTTTTAAATTGTGATTTTGCCTTACAACCATTATTTAAGTGTGCATGGATATCTCTGGCAGTATATAAAATCAGTAGTATATATTATATAATACATCAGTAGTATATATAATACAAATGTGTCCAGGATATCAATAGTATATATAATACAAAATTCCTTTGGCTATCAGTAGTATATATAATACAAATTAATACGAATTGTTCATGAAGCAAATAGTAAAAAGGCAAAAATCATGACAAATTGCTTGATGACGTTGATACAATTAGCATAAACTTTGATACAAATAGAATCATTGCAAACATGTAATAAATAATCAATACCAAATAACTAAAGGTTGCCTAGTATGTTGCTTACATGGTCCTGTTAATTGGGGATGCAATGTCATTTCAATGATTGAATAAATTTAAACAATGTAACCAAGAGAAGGTAATTAGGGTAACAACAAAAGGTAATTATCTTGTCAAAACTTGTGACCAGAGTGATTTACTAATTAGGAATCTATTCCACTTTGATGAGAAAAATGTCAACATTAAGGGCAACAATAAAGGGAGTAAAAGCAATGAATAGAATTTGAATGTCTTCTCATCCCCCTTTTCAGTCTTCAATCGGTATATGCCTAAACAAATTCTAGAAAGTACTTATGAAAAATGAAATAACTGGTATTGAACACTGAATAGTCTAATATCCATATTAGTTTTTAAAATATTAGATGTGAAAACACATTTTGTTTTAAAATAACAAATGCATGATTTGGGAGTTGCACAAATTGATATATTAAAGAACTAAAGTAGACAATTGATATTTATATCATGCAACCCTAATCAACATTGTCATTCTGAAAATAACAAGTAATTCAGAACTTGAAAGGAGTAAAAGAAAATTTGAAGAATTGGGAAGAAGCTTCTATTCCTGCTCCCTAATTAGGGTACCAGTAGATTAGAAAAACGTCAGTTATTTTTTAAACAAAAATTCAAATTTTTCATTCTCCCAAGAATCATCATAAACTGAAATATTCATTCAAGAAACTGTAACTTAAACAGAAGAAGGCTGACAAAGCCATAACATATATATATATATAAAATAAAACAATAACAAAGCTTCCAGATGTTCAATTTGAAGATTGGAAATCAAATACTAAACATTTCACATACTATCATCAATATATAAATAACCATAATAAAAAAATATTTAAAAGAGGGGCACTTATTACGATGGAACTGAATCCAGTTGTATGGTATAATGCAAGATTACTTTCATGGAATGTGTATGGTTATGGTACATAATTTTATAAGTTAGGTAAGCTTATAATATGAGGGGGGGGGGGGGGCTTATTACAGATGATCTACAAAAAATCGGCACATAGGTGCTTATCCTAGCTGGGTGGTTATTTAAAAATAATTCTTATGTTCTGTGCATAATCAGCCAATCATCAGCTAATGAACGATATCTGAGAACCAACATTTTTTTTATATTGCTTTATGAATATTTAATTTAACAAACATTTTTATGTTCTATCTTTCAAATAGACATTCAAAGTTTGTAAAATAATGGATTCTTTAGACGACTAATTATTTCACCAAATCATTGTCCTTATAGGAATAATTTCACCAAGTCATCGAAAATATGAAATAACTGTGTACAATTTAAAAAAATAAATAATTGGTAATAAGTGTTCTTTTATGTTTGGTTCGAGTTGGATGTGACTGAAATATAGACATCATCTACCGAACTTGGCACTGTGAAACGATCGTTATCATCATAACTTCTCGAAGAATCCGTCAATCTGCTGGAATAAGTTACAGGAAGAACAGCATTTGGGTTAACATAATCAGATAAACCACTAGATGCATAACCAGTGTTATGTGGCTGCTGACCAGTATAATAATGATAATATGTATCCATGAACATGCCGTAGCCATCACGATCTAAAGCTAAACGTGGGTTGGTAGAATTAGATAGCTGTGGATATCCTGACATAGAATAAAGGCGATCCATCTCACCATACAGGTGAGATTGTGGTAAGTGAATAGGCTGTAGGTGGCCGGTAAATGGATCTTCATGGCAACTATCTGAAACTAATAAAAAAAACAAAAAAATTAACAATCGATGACGGCATCACTACACATGGTCATATGAGTCAATTGACTAGGCAACGTGTCAGGCCCAAAGACACTACCACTGAAATGTAGGAACCGGACAGGAGACATGCTCATGTTGTTATGACCAACACATAAATTCCAACCTAGGACATTTCACAGTCCTTATATATAATATGCTGACGCATATTTGTAGACTTAAGGTATGTTTTATCTTTTATGAAAGCATCAGTTGTAGGGGTTTGCCAAATAGTCTAAAAGATGGAGATTATGTAAAGTTTTCGTAACACTTGCTAGTTGTGAAGCATGGCAGAAATGAAGTTCCCTATAAAATATATAGACTCCAATCAAAGCATAAGGATTTTTGTTACCTAGGCATTCTTTTCTTTCATTCTGATCTGTTGTTAAATATAACATATTTGATGAAGCAGATGGTACACTGGATGATGTCATCAACATTCTTTTAGCAGGTTTAACATCCGTACTTTCTGCAGGATCTGTAAAGTAATGTAAGACTAATTAAATTCAAATAAAGAAATGAAATGAAATGAAATGAAATGGGTTTAACGTCCTACTGTTCTGCTCATAAACTGGCCTAATGAAGACGGGCATACGCCATACAGTGTGCTATGAGGGAAATTTAGCCCGGGCAGCGGTGCTACGGCCTACTCTTATATTGAATTCCAACTGCCAAGGGATCTTTTATGTGCACGCCAATGTGTACACAGGACCTCGGTTTTTCGTCCCATCCAAACGACTATACAGCTGTCCTTGTCAGGCCCTCCATCCTGCATCACTGACAAGGGGAAACCACGCTGGAAAATCTGAATGAACTTTCTCGGCCATTGCAGGGATCGAACACCCGACCTCCAGGCTAGCGAGCCAACGTCTTACCCACATAGAAACGTTTCATGACATTATCTGAGTTAAGTTTCTACTAGGCTTCTCAGGCTTTCATCAGGCTATTCCACTTGGTTGGATAACATTAACAGTGTGGTTTATTTATTTATTTATTTTAAATGGAGGATTAAAAACCAAATTCATATGTTAAATTTCAAAATATATTAAAGCAATCCGGTGTTTCACATTAGAAAATCAAAATTCTGATGGTAATCGGTGTAGGTGTGTCTTACCTCGTTTAAGATTAGGGCAAGATGTGGGGGAACTACATTTGGATGTTTTTCGACCAGGAGTTGTTGTTATATTACCATTTATATCCATAACACTATTAATAGATACTGGACTGTTATCATTACTGAAATATATGTATCATTACATAGATACTGTTATCATTACAGAAATATATGTATCATTACAGAGATGCTGTTATCATTACTGAAGTATCACAACAGAGATACTGGACTGTTATTATTACTAATTACTAATCCCACTATCACCATTTGTGCTACGATTGAAATCGTGGTTTTAATCGTGGTGAGACTATCATATATATATTGAGGTCAGTCATAGCAATCGTGTTGATTGTATTGAAACATATCCAAACATATCTGCACGTATCGGATCGTGGACTCAATTGGACAATCCAATTGTAACGCATCATAGGACAGTGGAAACCTTGCATAAAATATATACTATTATTATTACTAAAATATATACTGTTATCATTGTTAAACAAGCCAACAGTGAAGCTGATCTTCCCCGCTGAAATCCCCAAATAAATAGATGACACATATTAATTAATCGAACATTTATTTTTTTTTTCAAAAGTATCAAGCAATAAAACTATACACTCTCTATCAGATAGAATCAAGATTATCTTGTCCCAAAGCATTGACCGATGAAATTGATTAGCTCTGCTTAGCTTCAGCTCGAAATGTTAATCATTGAACTCAGTCAAGACATCAAGTCTAAACATTCTACGTCAATTAAAAGCAGAGTTGTTATGATCCAAAGTCTTGACCAATCAAATTGCTTATCGCTCATTAGCCTATGCAGAAAATTCTCACCATCGAAATTAGTCAAGGTAAATGATATAATGAATCTATATTTGGAGTTCCATCGCTCTCACTTCATTATAACCAAACTTATCGTGTGTCAAAGCATCAACCAATCAGATTGCTTATTTCTGCTTACCGAGACGCTAGCTCGCTAGCCTGGAGGTCGGGTGTTCGATCCCTGCATTGGCCGAGAAAGTTCACCCAGATTTTCCGGCGTGGTTCTCCCTTGTCAGTGATGCAGGACGGAGGGGCTGACAAGGAAAGCTGTCTAGTCGTTCGGATGGGACGAAAAACCGAAGTCCCGTGTACACATTGGCGTGCACGTAAAAGATCCCTTGGCAGTTGGAATTCGATATAAGAGTAGGCCATAGTGCCGCTGATCGGGCAAAATTTCCCTCATAGCACACTGTATGGTGTATGCCCGTCTTCATTAGCCCAGGTTAGGAGCAGAACAGTAGGACGTTAAACTTCATTTCATTTAATTTCTGCTTACCGTAGGCAGACAATGTTCATCATAGAACTCCATCAATTTTAAACATTCTTCCTCAATTAGAAGGAGAGTTATTGTGTTCCAAAGTCTCGACCAATCAAATTGCTTATCGCTCTGCTTACCCTCAGCAGAAAATATTCATAATCAAACTTAGTCAAGGTATTGATGTAATAAAGCTATACTCCAAGTGTCCTCACTCTCACTTAATTAGAACTAAAGTTATTGTGTCTCATGTATATCAACCAATCAAATTGCTTATCTCTGCTTACCCAAAGCCAAAAATTATCATGTTTAAACATTCTACCTCAATTAGAAGGAGAGTTATTGTGTTCCAAAGTCTCGACCAATCAAATTGCTTATCACTCTGCTTACCCTGAGCAGAAAATGCTCATTATCAAACTTAGTCAAGGTACTGATGTAATGAAATTATACACCAAGTTTCATCACTCTCACTTAATTAGAACTAAAGTCATCGTGTCCAAAAGCATCAACCAATCAAATTATTTATCTCTGCTTACCCTAAGCAGAAAATGCTCATCTTCGAACTCCATCAAGGCATTGACCTAATAAACACCCACACCAAGTTTGAAGATTCTAGCTCAATTAGAAGGAGAGTTATTGTGTTCCAAGGTCTCGACCAATTAAATTGCTTATCGTTCTGCTTACCCTGAACAGAAAATGCTGATTATCGAACTTAGTCAAGGTACTGATGTAATGAAACTTTATCACCCAATAATACCTTCTACAGTAGATATCTCTTGTGTGATATATTTCATAATCTACTTAGGAGATATCGCTTTACATGAATTTGATTGGTCAGTTGAAAAGGAACTACTTTTTTTTATTTTCAAAGAACAGTTCATTTCTTATTAAAAGTAATTTTTTTTTTTATTAACCAGCGGCTGCCAGGCAGTATACGCCCACATTTGAGAGATTGATAGAAAACCAGCTAAACGAAAGTGATTTTTCCTACAATCAAGGGTCATAATTCAGGAAATTACAGCTCGATATGCGCAAATATCAAAAGGAACCAAGATCTTTGAGTTATAAACTTACATTTCAAGTTTCAACAAAATTGGATAAAAATTGTGACCTCTATAGGGTCCACAACCTTGATATACCATATTTTTACGCTATTTGAGAACAAGGGGCGGCCATTTTGTCAGTCAGTTTTGGACAAATTTTCACGAAATTCGAACTCAGTCGTCCTTAGGGTGTAACGGTGATATAATAATACGGTTTTTTAAATCGGATAAAAATTATGACCTCCATAGGGTCCACAAGCTAAAAAACGTGATTTTTTGTACAATCAGGGGCTATAATTCAGGAAGTTACGGTCCGATATCGAAAGGAACCGAGATCTTTGGGTTATAAACTTACATTTCAAGTTTCAACAAAATCGGATAAAAATTGTGACCTCTATAGGGTCCACAACCTTGATATACCATATTTTTACGCTATTTGAGAACGAACGGCGGCCATTTTGTCAGTCACTTTTGGGCCGATTTTCATGAAATTCGAACTCAACCGTCATTAGGGTTTAATGGTGATATAATAAAACTTTTTTTTAATTCGGATAAAAATTATGACCTCTATATATTCCACAAGCTAAAAACGCGATTTGTCATACAAAGGGGCCATAATTCATGAAGTTACGGTCCGATGTGCGCGAATATCGAAAGGAACCGAGATCTTTGTGTTATAAACTTACATTTCAAGTTTCAACAAAATCGGATAAAAATTGTGACCTCTGTAGGGTCCACAACCTTGATATCCCATATTTTTACGCTATTTGAGAACGAACGGCGACCATTTTGTCAGTCACTTTTGGGCCGATTTTCATGAAATTCGAACTCAACCGTCATTAGGGTTTAATGGTGATATAATAAAACGTTTTTTTAAATCGGATAAAAATTATGACCTCTATATGGTCCACAAGCTAAAAACGCGATTTGTCATACAAAGGGGCCATAATTCATGAAGTTACGGTCCGATGTGCCCGAATATCGAAAGTAAGGCTGACCTTAAAAATATCTTTGTTTCGCCTAACGCGACCGACTAACTAAAACCACCCCCGACTTAAATTATTTTATTGCACTTTTCCGCGATCTTTTTATTTTATTTTGTGTGTCAACCTGAAATATATCACGAGAGTTATTTCCCTTTACTATGAAACTGGTTTTTCAAGACGTAAGCGTCATAGGTGTCGCTTCTCAACAAAATGGTTGCAGACGAAAGCACGTCCATTCCCACGAAATGATTCTGCCTCTATGTCTGTGGGGCGTCGTTTTAAACATGACGAAGATATTTTCAATATCCGTTTTCGAGAAAAATGAAGCCACAACCAGCACGATCGTTAAAAACGTGTTGAAGGGGTTTCACACTTAGAGTTCGTGGCAAATCGTGTGCGAGTCTCGGAGTCGTGCATCACGAAAAATCCCGATGTCATACTCATTGATTTGTTTGACAATAAAAAAAGACGAATGTTTCCCCCCCCCCCCCCCAGAAAATTATCAAGCTGTCAAATTAGCTGTTTAAAAAAAAATCTGAAAAAAAAACCCGACCTACCGACCCTTCTCCTCGATTGTGGGTCGGGTTTGGCGAAACAAAGATATTTTTAAGGTCAGCCTAACTGAGATCTTTGTGTTATAAACTAACATTTCAAGTTTCAACAAAATCGGATAAAAATTGTGATCTCTATAGGGTCCACAACCTTGATATACCATATTTTTACGCTATTTGAGAACGAACGGCGGCCATTTTGTCTGTCAGTTTTGGGCTGATTTTCACGAAATTCGAAATCGGCCGTCCTCAGGGTGTAATGGTGATATTTTAACACATTTTTTTAAATCGGATAAAAATTATGACCTCTATAAGGTCCACAAGCCAAAAAACATGTTTTTGCGTACAATCAGGGGCCATAATTCATGAAGTTATGGTCCGATATGCCAAATATCGAAAGGAACTGAGATCTTTGTGTTATAAACTTACATTTCAAGTTTCAACAAAATCGGATAAAAATTGTGACCTCTGTAGGGTCCACAACCTTGATATACCATATTTTTACGCTATTAGAGAACGAACGGCGGCCATTTTGTCTGTCAGTTTTGGGCCGATTTTTACCAAATTCGAACTCGACCGTCCTTAGGGTTTAACGGTGATATAATAATACGTTTTTTTAAATCAGATTATAATTATGACCTCTATAGGGTCCACAAGCCAAAAAACGGGTTTTTACGTACAATCAGGGGCTATAATTCAAAAAGTTACAGTCCGATATGCACGAATATCGAAAGGAACTGAGATCTTTGGGTTATAAACTTATATTTCAAGTTTCAACAAAATCGGATAAAAATTGTGACCAAAAACGTGATTTTTCGTGCAATCAGGGGCCATAATACATGAAGTTACGGTCCAATAGATGCCAATATCGAAAAGGAACCGAGATCTTAGGGTGATAAACCTATATTTCAAGTTTCATTGAAATCGGATAAAAATTGTGACCTGTAGACTGTTCACAAACAATTGTGGACGGACAGACGGATGGACAGGGGCGACGACAATATACGTCCACATGAAAATGTGGGCGTATAAAAATTAACCATTGTTATTCAATTGACCTTGATGGAAACACTGGGTCAATATAAAGGACTTGATGTATCACTACGCCAGAATGTTCAGTAAAAGTGAAATCTACAGCAAAGAATTATATTTATCTATTTGTGCATATAAGAAGGGATTGGGTGATAAATACAATCTCCTACTCGTCTTTTTTGATATCAAAAAATATCAACACTCGTTGATAAA